CTTTTCTAAAGACAGTATTTCATGAGATGGGTGGTGACAAATTTGATAGATAGATAGATAGATAGATAGATAGATAGATAGATAGATAGATAGATAAATACGATTGAGATAGCTGGATTCAAGCCTTAATTTAATAGAAACTTGATCAGGAATATACCCAAAGCTTAAATGAGTTCAAATGTTTGGAGCCAGATAAACTGCATCCTAGACCACTTAAATAACTTGCGGATGGTCTGGCCAAACACCAGTCCAACATCTGAGATTTTAGAAGAATAGGTGAAATGCCAGATAACTGAAGGAGAGTAACTGTTGTTGTCACTATCTTCAGAAAAAGGAAAAGGAAAGACCTAGAAAACTAAAGACTAATCAATCTGTCATCAATACCAGGGAACATTCTTCAGCAGATCATAGTGACTGACCTTCTGGGAATGCTGAGGGCATAATAGAACTTAATTTCAGCAAAACAGTTGAATAAGTACCCGATGAAATTTTGATCGGCAAGCTAATTATGTAAAGGCTATATGACATGTCATTAGGTGGATCTACAGCTTGACTGAAAACTATACCCAACAAGAATTCATCAGTGGCTTCTTGTCAAACTGGAGTGAGGTAACAAGTGTGCTGCCACAGGGTTCAGTCCAAGTCATTAATTTTAACTAATGGCTTAGATGTAGAAAATGTTTACCAAACTCCCAGATAATACAAAACTAGATGGGATAACTAATATTCCAGAAAACTGAAACAAAATTAAATTGATGAATTTAGAGAAGAGGGCTGAAAATAATGAGCTGACATTTAAAAGAAATAAATGCAAAGTTCTTCATTTAAGGAAGAGAAATCTAATGCACAGGTATAGTGTAGAAGTACCTGCCTTGGTATTGTAAGGTGAATATGAGTCAGTCATATCATTTCACAGATTTCTAAACCAAACCAATCAAGCATCTTCCAGTAGTATACAAAGATAATTACAAAACATATAACAACGAAAATTTAAAAACAGGGCAATATGTTGTCATCTTTCAACACCTTTAAAGCCCTCCTTGTGGGACCATTTGCCTCTGCCTGTCCCACCAGATCTGGCAGGGTAGACATACTCCAGGTCCCTCACTGAAACAGTGCTATTTTGGGGGACCCAGGAGACATGCCTTCTCTGTTGCAGCAAATGCCCTGTAGAACAGCCTCCCACCTGGACATCGGGACGGACCAATCCTGTTGGGCTGTAAAAAAGTGGCTTTTCTCACAGGCAGTAGGGCCAGGTTGTTAGCAGAGCCTGATAGAGGTGAGTGTGTGACTGAAGCTAATATCTGAGTTGCCTTGGCTTTGTATTTTGTGTTGCTTGTGTTTATGTTGTTTTATTGTTCTGTATTGCCCAGAGTTATTTGCTTAAGATGGGAGGCCAATATAACATTTTTAAATAAATAAATAACATATGGGGTTCCCTCAATAAATTAAATTTTAAAAGCCCTCCAGAAGAGCTCCACTCTAATTTGCTTCTGGAATGATATAATGTTGGGGCTAATCTAGTTTCTTGTGGGAAACCATACTGAAAAATATAACTTGTCTCCTAAAAGGGCAAATATAATTTTTAGGATGAATCACTAGCAATATAGTTTCCGTATCACAAGAAGTAATAGTTCCACTATATTTTGTATTAGTGAGGCCTCACCTTGAATACTGCATCCATTTCAGGTCACCACATTTTAAGAAAGATTCAGAGAAACTGCAACAGGTGCAGCAAATGACCATGCAGATAATCAGGGGCCTGAAAACTAAACCTTACGAAGAAAATGCAATATAATAGAGATGAGTGAATAGAAAATATGCTAAAACTTTTCAAGTACTTGAAGGAGTGTCATACAGAAAAAGGCCAAGATCTGTTCTCTATCATTTCAGAAGGTAAGGCACCAAATAATGGTGTTATAATCAAAAAACAAGATTCTGGCTATGTTATGAGAAACTTCCTAATGGGAGACCATTCTGACAATGAAACCGATCATTTGTCAAATGTGTTCTGCAGAGGTTAAACAACCATAGGTTTAGAGATACTTTACATTGGATTTTTGCACCAAGCAGCAGATTGAATTCAACAGTCTAGATGGCCTTCTGATGCTATGACCCTGTGACCTAAAATATCTCCCCATACAGAATTCTGTGCACCTAGAAAGTTATGTACTCATCCTCTAATAGCAATTAGCCACAAAGACACTATTTCACTTTGTAGTCTGAATTATCCCCACAGCATGGCTCCTAGGATGGGTGGAAAAATAAAACATCTTCCACTGTGTTGACATTTCTATTTCTTTCCATGTTCCATTATCTCAACATTCTGCAATAGAAATTGCATACCTGCAATTACAACTAATTGATCTGCCATTTCCGATGTCATAATTAATGTCATGTTTTAATAGAGTCATAATCATTCCATAATAATGGTTTTCATTCAGCAGATTTCCAAAATGGGTAAGAATATGGAGCTCAAAAGCAATAAGCAGTGTTGAGGCTCTTTCAAAATATCCCAGAAGGAACATCTTAGTATAATGATCTTGCAAAAGAGATTTTTTAATTTTTATTTGGATAGCAAAGTAATATTATGCAAGCTTTTTTTCAGTGTGACTTATCCCTAAACATCCATAAACATAATAAAATCAATGATTCAATGGCAAAATGCATTATGCTTCCAAAAGGGTTATTTAAAGTACTCTTAGAGCAAAGATGGGGGAAAGGGTGACTTCGGCAGAACAAGGCAAAGCACCATCAAACCATTGACTGTATTTTACATTGGGTACAGATGTGCCAACTTAAATGCAGGAATTTAGAGCCATAAAAAGTACTCTAAGGCCACAAATCAATTCTTCATGACTACTGGTTGTCCTGCTAGATCATTTTAAACTAATTTTTCTCCTGCAGAAGCAGAGACCAGCTCCTGAAATTAAAAGAATGAATGGGAATAAGAAACAAAACTTAATTGGTATAAAGACCAATCACATACCAAATTTATAAAGATGAAAAGCATTCCTGCTCCCCACAATGAGACAGATCCATCTAACCCAATGACCTCCTTCACCTTTCTTAATGTTTCCCTACTTTTGTTTGTTTGTTATTCAGAATGGGAAGCTAACATAACCAAAGTTTTAGCCAGCCCAACATTTCCTAAAATCAATACATTCTGAATCAGGTCATGGGTTAGAGAGAGGGGGATAGAGGACTGACTGAGAATATGTATTAAAAATCCAGCCTGCCATTTCAGATAATTTTTCAGTGTGCACATGCCAAAGGACAGTGGTCTTTACTAAGAAATCCAGATTTTACTAGGAAGGCTCATGTCCTAAGTCTTGAAAGAGATTATGTCTTTTGGAGGAAAAAAAAACTTATGTAAAAGGGATGGGTAGCTATTAGTACTCTTAGATCAGCACATTATTCTATCAGTTCTGCTATAACGATAAAAAGGAAGGTGCACTCAATATACCTCGCTGATGTCCTTGGAGGAAACACAAGATAAGTAGAATAAGGCTTTGATTTTAATATACCGTTAATCTAGGAGAGCAGTGGGAGAAAGAACTGCTTAAACTCATGCTTTGTAGGACTCTTTCAAATGAGTCAATGCTATTTCATCAACACAAGAGTCAACAATTATGCTTAGGCAAAATATAAACTAATACTTTCCAAATGACCATGGGAAATAGAAAGTCGTACATTATTTTACTAGATCAGAGTATTTCAGAATGGTGGAGGAATGGGAAGATAAGTCAGCTTCAGTTCAGGCTATAAGCATGAGAAATGGTAACTACTTCCTTCCTGCCAAAATATAAAAGCATACCAACAAAAGAGCCTTGTTACCATATCAATTTAATAGCCTGAATAAGCGCATTTTGGGGGATTAAAAGGGAATTCCTGAAACTGTCTTCCTTTCCTTGTGTCAATGGTAGCATCTGCTTTGCTAAAACAAAATGTTTTCAAGAAACTGAACACATTTTTGCAATCTCTTCCTCCTTGGGAGGGATAAAAATCCTACCGACTGCAAGAGGACATGGTTACAAGGAATCAATAGAACCTCAACTAGCACTTACTCAGCGATTCATAATTGACCAACAGCATGATAATTTCTTATATAAAGAAACAGGGTTCCAGGAAGACCAGCTCCTCATGGTGACCCAAGATTGGGGTAAATATTTTACAACTATATCTGGCAATAACCAGAGAGGTGCAACTTATAAAATACTGTCCCTGCCTACCTCCCACTTACTAATTCCATTTAAAAGTACATATATCCAAGTGTTTACCTCAAGGGATCAAATGTATTCCATTCATACCGTAAAATCTTAAAAATGAACTAGTATCAATGAAAAGTTGGTTTATGAACTGCTGTTTTACAGAAAATGTCTATTAGTTTCACCCTCAACTCTGCCTGACACCCCAAATTTTTAGATAACACCAAGTTCAGATAAATAAAAATAATATTAGTGAATAATTGTATTGATATGCAATTATGTAGGAGATAAAAACCCCATTTCAGTGTTAAGTGTTTTGACTGATCAGGGCTCCACTACTGCATTCTTAATTAAAATAAAAGTCCCAGTATTGATTCGAAAAATGGAGGGATGGGGGTACTTAATGCTTGCAACAGGGGTATTTAATTCAGGCCTGCAAAGAGCCTGAAATAATGTCTTGCGTTACATTTCCACTTCAGATTGTGGTACCTTGACATTGGTGCCCTCATATCATTTATGGAGGTGAACCTAGCTCTTCAAATAGAATTCTATTTCAGATGGCAAGAACATCTGGAAAAAAAAGTGCTATTTTATCTAATGGTCGAGAATCTGGTATGATAAAGCCCGTACTTTCATAACAATCTAATGTGTTAAAACAGAATGCTCCTAAGTTACCTAGAAATACTGTTCCTCGTGAAGCTTTTCAGACTCAACTTGTCAAATAAATCAAATCTTATCAAACAAACCAAATCCTGCTGAATAAAAGTTGAGGAAAAAGTATGTTTTGTTTACCTGAATCGTATGCAAAATCTCTAGGTTCTTGTTTAATCATCAGAGGAGGGGGAAAGCTTTGATTGATTGAATTGCCCACCATGGCACTGTGTTCATACACTGGATCATGGTACTCCTGCTTAAACCCTTGAGGTGGGAAAGGGATGTTTGGCTCAGACATCTGGCGTTGGTACATCGGACGTCCTTCCCGCGGCATGGCAGGCAGAGGAGGAAACGAATTACAAGGTTCTGAGAGCTGACGGCGAAATCTAGGATATTAAAACAGAAAATCATTATTAATCTAGCCGGGGGGGGGGAAGAGGGGTACCATGGAGAAAGAACGGATTATGGGGCAGGGTGGGAAGGAAGAACTGGGAAAGAAACGTGTATACAATTTTTGCAGAATATAGCAAGAATCTATGGGACAGCACAGGCAGCATCATCCTGCAAGAATTGGATAAAAACAGCTGCCCCTAGAGAAGGATTTCATGGATGGCCCTGCCATGATAAACAGTTTTCTTAAGCACCAATTAAGTGTTCCTTTTTTCCCCTCATTTGATATTAACCTAAAAGTAACCGAGAGAAGATGTAAGAAACAAACAACCTGAATGTTTCTGATCACCCAAGGAGAAAAGAAAAAGACCAGTGTACCATACAATGTTTAGCTCTTCTTCATTTATACTTTTTAAAGCTTTACAGATTATAGTTTAAAAGCTTGCCTTTGTTAAAGATATAGTCTGTAGAACATATTCTAAATTGTATCTGATCCACTTTTCTGCTCTAACATAAAGAACGAAAAACTCAAGACCATATTGTTTGCTGGAAAAAAAAAAAGGTCTGCTGAAACACTCATTCTGTAGTCATTCAGGTAACAGATATTTAAATGATATTATTTATTTGGATTGATAATTTACATATAAATAGCACATTCAGTATTCAAAACACTTCATTTAATGTGCCACAGAAAATTTAATATATCAGTGAAGTATGGTTTGCCCAAACCAAACTGAGAAGGAATGCATAAAAAGAGGAGAGAGAGAATAACAACCAGACTCATAGTCCAAAAATATTTCTCATCCTTTCACCATTAAATGCAAGCTGAGCCTTAGCTGTTATGCCACACCAGCTCTCATATCATTTCAATTTAGATTATTAGATTGAACTTTAATACACCCCCCACACCCACCCCATGACCGTGGAACTAGAACTCATGAACAGTTTGGACAACTGTACTGACTGAATACATACAATGAAGATGGGACTGAATGGATAAGAAAGGTAGAGCTTTTTGCTGGCACAGAAGAAAGCTTAGAGTATCCCATTCTTGCATACGGTAATCTAAACTGATCTAAATCTGCCACAAAAAAAATGTAGGCATTTAATAGCAGGAAGCCTCATTCCTTTCATGGGGTTCCCTTCTTAGTAGACATGGAACAAAACTGTGCACTTGCTTACAAGAACATGAAGATTGGGGACAGAAGTATCTGCTGTTAAAAATAACTTTTATATTTGCTTCTTATCTCTTTTAGTTAAATGTATACAATCATTCATTGCAAAGAAGGAAAGTGACATTTCCCCCGAAGCAATTATATTCCATACAACGAAGAATATGCCGTGCCACTGTGAAAGGAATGATGTCTTTGCTGTTTGCCTACACATTTAGAAAACAAAGTGTTACACTCAAAAGTGCTGTAAAATAGCTGCATTCGTTCTTCACTAGCCCTCCTCCTGCCATTTTAATCTAGAAACGCATTTACCATTTTCAAAAGAAAAACAGTGAACTTAACATAAGAAACAGGATCACTAGTGAACCTCAAAAAAGTTAATAATGCTCAAGTTGTGTGTTTATACAAGTGGCTTTGATTCCTGTTGTACTCATTAAAGCCATTTATGTTTCAGATAACTGGGCTTTTCATAAATAGTATTGACTGTTTGTTTGTTTAAAAGACTTCTATGGCCACCCATCTCACTGTGATTCTGGGCAGCTAACAACAATTTAATAATTTATTGAAGCTACAAATCTACTGAGCCATGGTTCATCACAGTTTGCTAACTTTTTGAGTTCTCCTTTGTTCCATCTGGAACCTAGACTCCTTTGGCCTAGCCTTGTCACAATCATGCCACTATGCAATTATAGAAGAGTTAGGATTACAAATGATCTCCTACTGGAGCATAAATGAGAAATTTATCACCCAGGCTACCTCACTGAGAAAAAACTAAAAAAAACAGCCCTTCATATTATGTCTGTGTAAATAAAATGCATGTGAACATTGAAATAAACCCACCAAGTTCAATGGATTAACTTCCAAGTCAATGGGACTTTTAGCAGATGAAATTGCAAGACCACAAGCATTTTCTATTATCACAGGCTACTTGTAAGAACTAATAAGGATTACCTTTGTGGCTTAAAAGACTGGAATTATATGGTGACATTCTGACTTCAGAATGACTATGCAAACTAAAAGACGAGTGGAACCATCACCAAATTATCTGTGTCATTGTGTATATCAGGGAAAATTAATAAATAGTATGTCAGCTGTGGGCCTACACATCACTACACCTTATGGGAGTGGAAAAAACATACGGTATTACATTAAAACTGGATTCTGGAGTACATTCTGATCAGGTTAGAACATAGCCAAGTGAATAAATATTTGATCAGACTTGCATTAACAATCACTATCAGAATTCAAATATAGCCATAACTAAATTTAAGCAAAATATATTGGCTCAATCTATGGATGCTTTGCCTTAGGGAATTCAAATATAAAAAATAAGCAGGGTGATTTAGGGACGTAGCTGCAGTTCAGTTTTTTAGCTTTTGCGGTTTTGCTCAGCCTAAAGTTATTTGAACATCATTTGTTTTGGCTGCTTAACTTCCTTTTCCTAAGCTGCTGCATTTCAAAATGCTCAAAGGACTAAACAAAAAAACAAAACAACAACAAAAAAAAAAGCCCACACCCTTTCAATGGATATTATGCAAATTGTAAGAGTAAACAGCAATACTTATCTGCAATCGATTTAATTAAGAATTCAAAACACCAAACCAACCATAGAGAGATTTGTAATCCTCATAAAAATAACCACCTATGTGGCAGAATTGTTCCAGTCAAATAAATTAGCCATTTATTTGTATGGAATATACAAGATTGTCTCCTTTCTCCAAATTCAATAGAATTTTAGAATTAACTTTGAAATGGCCAGGGTTGTTGTTCATAACATCTGCTACTACTAAAAAATCACCCAACTAGTCTTACAAGGCTTTTCTGATTGTCTGATGTTAACGATTTCTCATTTCTCCTAGAGCTTCCACTCTGTAATACAGTTAAGACAAAATAAGCAAGGCTACAATATAGTCTTATTATTAGGACTAAGTATGTTCTGCAAATGATTTGGAAGACATCCTTCAAGCTTCTCTGCTATTCATTAAAGAAGGGACATCTTTTTTCAGGCTTCTGCCTGCTCCTGAAAAAGGTATGCTATTTTGACTCCTTAAACCAGTGGCATCTTTTTTCAGGCTCAAGAAGAATGAAAGAAAGATATGATTGCTTTAGTTAGGCATCAGAGAAGTGCTCTGCTCAAACTGCAAAGTCTGAAGGACCTTTTCTGAATCAGGTTTGAAGTGTATATAGGCCTACTATAGATGTTGGTGGTCAACAAATTCCTCAGAATTTTTTGTCTGACCATGTTTTGATTGTGGTTCTTGTCCATGTGTGTGTGTGTGTGTGTGTGTGTGTGTGTACACACACTCTCAAAGTTTTAAATACAAGCAAATATGGTGGATGATGCTGACATATTCAGTAATGAACACAATATAAGAAAGTGACAGGACCAAACTACTTGCAGTGGAAAACAAACATAGGAAGAACTCTCGCTGTTACCTGTGATCCATAGGGAAGCTGTTGTCTGGGATGGGCTGGGATGGAGGCAGGTGAGCAGGAAAAACCCGGTCAGGTTTAGAACTCTGAACCGAGTTTGAAGATGCATGATGCAGTGGTGAAACTGGAGTGCTTGATGGAGTTGGTGGGTTAGAGGTCCTCATTCCCACTTGTGGCTTCTGATCATAGGCACTGTTTGTTAAACATGAGGAGATATAAATGCTTCCCACACAGACTGATTGATTGTAAAACATGCATGGATACTAATCTCAAATTCAGTTTCTAGCATATCCCAGTTAGACTGGATAACATTCTCAAGATACAACACATATACAATTTTGATCTACATTTGACATCCTTTATTGTGTTGGCTGGGAATTCTGAGAGTTACAATTCCAAAATATAGTTGAAGGGCACAAGTTTAGGGAATGCTGATCCAGACAGACTAATTCTGAAGTTGAATTTTAATTCCCCATTTACCTCTGGATTGTTTTAGCCATGATTACATGACTAGACTATAATGGCTGGGTTTACATATCATGTAAAACCCTGAATTATGGTTTACAACTGCAAAAATTAAGTTCACACCATGCTCTTAGGCAACACTAAGCACACTATGGCAAAGCATAGTATATAAATCAGCTTCCTTTGGCCTCTTGGCATTAACTAATGCTAATCTTGAACATGAGAACCTGATTCTACTAGTTTATCGAAGCACAAATCATTCTCTATCCACCATTATTTCCTAACCCAGTTAGGAAGTTCTGGATATAATATACATAACAAATACACACTGATTATTCTTTGTGCTTGTTAGATACATCTGCTATTTGTTTGGGGTTTGTTTTTCTTACTTTTTAAGAATACTTAGAACAAAACGCTTGCACCACAATTTTTATAAAGCTGGTTTTGCAGCTTTATAAAGATTTTGGATCATGCAAGCTGATCTAACAAAGATGAACTATTAAAGCTGTAGAATATAAGTAAAATTGGTTAAAATCACAATTAAAAAAACAATCATGAGTAATATTCCACAAAGCACAGAAGCAATACTTTTATTAGACCGACTCAAATTTTACATGATAGATTCAAGCTTTTCCATTTCAAAGAACTCACCAACAGGCAGGAGAGTTAAAAGCCCCCCCCCCAAATAAAAGTCTTTTTAAAGTCACATCTGTGTCAGTTTTCATGTATTTATCATCAAATTTCTAGGCCATCCAATTCTAACGTGAGTCTGGCCAGCTTCATGTTCAGTTAGTGAGAAACGAAGTATCAAACATGCAAATTGGGACTTATCAGGTACAGAGTAAGATGAAGCTGCAGTAGGCGTAGAAAGAAGTACACTGTCTAATCAGTAAGCAGAACATTGGATCATTTCAGAATATTACACTTAAGATAACTGGCAATTAGAAATTATGCTGTATGGATAACTGGCAGTCAGAGATTATGTTGTATATTGCTTCTCAATTGTTTGAAGAAGTATTGAAGAAATACAAAAAAACTTGTATTTAAGTTTCATTAGCCTCTCAAGAGTTACCTGAAAAGTAAGTCTAATTTTATCCTTTAACAAGAAGCATGCCAGGAGGTAACACTCAGCAGTATGATATCTTATATTTGCAATATTTCCATAAGATGTATATATGGGATTTGAATTTCAAAAGAATTTAAACATGAAATATTTGATTGGGACAAGTAAATAAGTCTTCTAAGAGGCTACATCCTTGAAAGATGAGGGAAGTCCAGGAAATGTTGGGAATGGAGGAAAGGACTTCCTTATAGGAACCTAGAATAAGGAACCTGTGATATAGCTGAACTACAATTCTCAGCCTCTTTCGGTATTGGGGACAGCTGAGAGAGGGAATTCTGGAAAATCCAGAGAGGGACAGGCACCCCATCCTCACTCAGGAGCATGTTGCAACCTCAGAGCGAGAAGCACTGATGATACAAAACAGCATAAAACTATCATAAAAATAGAAAGTTATGCATATTACAATGATGCTACTCTTTTCTTCAAAAATGTTTCAAAGTGTCTTGGTTGCAGAGCTATTTGAACTCCCAAGAGTAGATAGATCACTGTAAAGTATTCTGCAGGATGAATAAAAAGGCAGACACTTTATACCCATTCTAATGCATCTGGACCCCACTTATGGACCTCTCTTCCCGGGGAAGCTTTCCTCATGCCCACTTTGATTTCTTTTTGGCAATGGGCTTAATTTTCCCATGTTTTTACTACTGGAGACCATCATCATCAGATTATATTTGATACTTTTTACTGAGCATATGTACCAGCTGTTACGTTCTGTTGTATTTTTTACACTTCCTTTGTCACTGTAGAAATTATAGAGGTGAAATGAGATATAAATGAAAATGAATGGAGCCACAGTTCTATCCACAGTGCAGAATGTGTGAAAGAAGCAGTTCCAAGAAAGAAAAACAGCATCTCCTTAAGTGATAATAACCCATACTGGCTTGCAAATATTTTTTACTTCAACTCGTATAATCCTGTATCATTACATATGGTGGCAAAAGGGCACCTCTATTCTAAGGAGATCAGAGTATCTTCTATATAATACACACAGACACACACACACACACAGTCACACTTGGTCCCTAATCCATACCAAATGTCCTTAACTTAAACAGCCAACTTTAACAAGTTTTCAGACCGTTGTCTGCACTGACTGCTTGCACTCAGACGATTCGTAATTTCACTTCTTCCACAATCATTTGAAACATAAAGGCACTGGGAAAAGAGCCACTTTCTGAAAGAGGATTCGATTCCCCTTCCGTTTGGCACTGCTGCTGTAACAGGTGCAAGCAAAGCCCCCACTCTTGTTTCTACAAAGACAGGAGTCCTCTTAATCATTTTTCAATGCAAACTAAATAGGAGCCTGATCTTGCACAGATAGTAACTGCAAGATCTGTGACAGACCACTGATCCCTGTAGCATAGCACCCTGATGAGGCAGATAGTGAGATTTAACAAGTATACAGGTATCAGATGTATCAAAAATCACTTAAAGTGGAGGTCGAGCACTTGGACAACAATGTTCACTGGCTCTGGATTAGTTTGCAAAACATAATCTATTAGACAAAAAAAAATATGTTTCAATGCACTCCTCCTGCCTCTTTGTTCATACACTGGAATAGATAGCTTCCAGATGTGTTGAACATCTGAACCAGGAACTGTAGTTTAATCTCAAACTAAAATCAAAGAACTAATACCAGTTTCATCATGTATGAGTCTATAGTCTGAGGTTAAACAACAGTTCCCAGATTCAGCTATAATTATTTGCATGCAATGGAGAGCGAGCATTTGTAACAACTCTGGCTTTTCCAGGAATGAGCAATTTGATCATGCCCACCTGGTGCCAATTGTCAATGGATGCAGTTAACAAACACTTGGTTTGTTCATCATAATATGCAAACCAGGAACTCTGGCATTTTAATAGACAGGAACAAACCAGTGCTCTGTCATGATAAACAAACCATAGGCTTGTTGGCTGCATCTGTTGGCAAAAGCAGTCAAGTGGTGGCAAGCAGAAGTGCTGTATGTCTAGATATAGAAGGGATCAGTGTATTTCTGGCTCATGTCATTTTCATAGGTATTCATTTTGTTTTGAAATCGAACTGCAAACTTTAGGGAAAACAAGACATTTTTGTACACACTAAATTATGCATGCAGATTTTAGTCTAAAATTCAGAAATGCTATATAGCTTTTGTTGCTTTTTTAAGAAGAAAAAAAAGGATGTCTCCATTAATGTCCAATACATTATCTGGAAACTAAGAAACCTGCAGAGGAAAAGATGATAGCTAAATATATGAACAAAAGTTGGATTAGTGTCCTTATTGCCACCTATGTCAGATGACTGTTGCCCTCAAATAAGTGAAACGTATCAGGCCTATTTTGTAGAAGGTTCCTATGGAGAAGTTAGACTTCATTTAGAGCCTAAGACAACAAAAAAAGAGCAAAGCTTGTAGAAACTCCGACAAACTAAAGCTTAAAAGCTATTAAACAGCATAATGCTATCACACCAATTAAAAATTATCCTAGAAACCATTTAAAATGTTTGGCTTTCCACCCTTAATTCTCAAAGGGAACTAACCTGCTTCTGAAGATATAATGGTTTCTGCAAAGCCTTAAAAATGACTTCTAAATAATCATCCATGAACACACGCTTCCTTTTTCTTAAGTTTCTAATGAGTTATTTAGGCTCATCCCTTACAAGGATTCTTTTAACCTAAAGTATGTTTTTGTTTCTAAAATACTTAAATGAACAAAAAAAATTAATCACACCTATACCAAATCAAACAAAACCATGCTCCTTTTGGAATTTTCCTTATTTCTACGGGATAATGAAAAGAGTATTACTTTAAAAATTATTTGAGAATTTCGCTAAGAGGACTATAAATATAATCACTACTTCTCCCTTAAATCTATTCATATGAGAAAGGCCTCACTAATTTGGAGCAGCTACAATTGGGACAAGAACTCCCCAAATCCCTGGCCCATAGGGCTGAAAATGCTGGGAACTTTAGTTCACTCTGGAGGACACCAGGTTGGGAAAAACTGATCTATCCTAGTTAAATTTATGCCTGCCTGCCTGCCTGCCTGCCTGCCTGCCTTCCTAACATTTACTTTTTAAAAAATAAACTAAACAAAAAAAAAAGCAGGTGATCATTCAGCCAATACCATTTCAAACTGCAAGTTTTATAAAAGGTAAACCGCTATATATCTACAGGAATGATTTTAGCCTAGTGAGTTCCCAAGCTACCCTATTTTTCTGAGGAGGAAAACATGACAAGAATTGATTCCCCCACCTACAAACTGGCATTATCACCCACCACTTTGCTATGTAACAAGACCAGGAAAATGTCTTCTGGGGGTGGAGAAAAAAATTGATTTTAATTGTCCCATTACTGTATCATCATGATCATAGAGTTTCCATTGGAAGTGCTAATGTAAAATATCCTGGTTACTTTACCTGACATTGTACAGGCACTTTTCTCCATAACTGAATTTGAATGGTTGTTCTTGACTACACGCCGAGCTGAGTTCAGAACATGGACTGTGGGGTTCTTTCTTGATTTTCACTGAAAGACCATGAAAAGCCACTGGAAAGATTAAAAAACAACAGGAACAGAAACTAAGTAATTTCAGTCAGGTAAGAATGATACAATATAACATTCTGAAATCCATCTCAAAAACAGTGCCAGACTCCTGAATTTTCTTTACTATATGACATTTATACTTCCACCTTCATCCTTATCCTGAGTTATATGCTCTGTGGCACTAGCCTGGCAAAGGTTCAAGTCAACATACTCCGTGACTGAGGACCAAATGTAAACAGGAACTTGGCCATGCGGAATAGCGTATGGCCCAAGAAAATTAAAAGTTGCTAAATACTAAATTAAATTGGATATCATGGGGTGAGTGTTTGTGGATTTTTGAGTGACTATAAAGAAAAATAAGGTTTAAGAAAAGTGTAAGGAACCTCTTGCCCACAACAGGTTATTGAAACACAACTCCCATCACTGTCAACCCACTTGGCCAATGGTTAGGGATGGTGGGAACTGTAGTTCAGCAATATTTGGAGGTCCTCAGCCTTCCCATCCTTGCTTAAGGACAAAATATGATGGCAAACATGCTTAAAATTTAGAACTGTGACAATGACAGGAAAGATAATTTAGATAAAGTCAAGGAGCATAGGGACTAAAAATGGGACTAAAATTAAATATAAAGAAGACCAAGCTAATGACAACAAGTGGAATAACCAGGTTTAGAACTGACAATGGAGATATTGAAGTGGTGGATAGCTTCTGTCTTTAAGGATCAACATCAACAGCATTTGAACCAGCAGTCAAGAAATATGCCACAGACTAGCACTTGGTAGAGCAGCCTTGGGGGCCTTGGAAAAGATATTCAAATGATGTGATGTGCCGATACCTACAAAGATCAGAATTGTGCAAGCCATGGTGTTTCCTGTGACACTCTATGGAAGCCAAAGTTGGACTTTAAAGAAGCATGACAGGAAGAGTATCCTATCCTGACATTTTTGAACTTTGGTGTTGGAGAAGACTACTGAGAACATCGCAGACAGCCAAGAAAACAAACAAATAGACCATTGACCAAATCAACCCAGAGTTCTCACTCGAAGAACAAATGACCAGGTTCAAATTATCCTAGTTTGGACAAATTATGTGAAGACCTAATTCTCTGGAGAAGGCTCTAATAAGGTGGGACGAAAGAGAAGAGAAGGATGACCAGCAGCAAGGTAGATGAACTCAGTTACAGTGACAATGGGTACATGGTTGGAAGACCTGAAAGACCAGGTTAGGGACAGATCATCATGGAGAAAAACTATCTATGTGGTCACCATGGCACATAATCAAGCAATCAATCAAAAATTAAACTGTCAAGCTTTCTTTCTGAAATCTGCCATCAGTTGGATTTTTTCTCTCCCAGAGCTGATTTTTTTTTTCTCCCTAAAAGGCAAAGCTACACACTTACAAATCAAGTTTTCATACAAGGTTACAACAGCTATCTGTTGACCACATCTCCATTAATTCCAGTTTGACACTTTCCAGGATTCATACTCATTGGAGTATGGATTGGAAGGACTGATTGGAAGGCTCATTGGAAGGACTGATAATGAAGTTCAAGCTCAGATATTTTGGTCACCTAATGCGAAGAGAGGACTCTTTGGAAAAGACCCTGAT